TGACAGAGGCCCCAAAAAAACAAACTCCAATCTCTCGCCCCCCATGTCTTACAACAAGGTGGCTCAAGGTTTCAGGGGGAGGCAGCCACAGAACCAGTGCTGTTGGCCTACGTGGCTCCTGAGTGGTAAAGTCAACTCATTATAGACTTGGGTCATCTTGAAAGTATGTACATACTAGTTCTGACTGCAATATATACATCTCTGGTAACTTCTGCTGCTGCACAAAAAATAAGGGTAGCACCTATACCTGAGAAGGGGGACGAAAGCCAGCAGCCGCCAGACGAGTGTCTCTTTTTCTGGCGGGCGTCGCGGCACAAGACACATGGTCGGCAGCTTGCGAGTCAGCGGCGCCGCGGATGCGGGGGGGGTATGTAACGGTGATGGAGGGAGCAGAGAAGCAAGCCGGGCGGTTTTTTTTGGGATAAGTTTGGCATGAAAGAAGTAGTGAAAGAGAAGTGCGATACGTTGTATGTTGGTGTCGGTCATCATCAAAAGGCAATGTGTTTTTGTCACACGCGGGAATGTATGCATCTTTTGGAAGTTGGAAGGCGACATCAGCGTTAGCGAAGGGGAAAAACCGTCTGAGTTCGAGTGGTGGGATACCCCGCGCGCGCGCAGGAAGACCTTCTCCATAGTCAGCGTTGCCGCGCGCGAGTACGGCATGCGTTTGAAAAGAAGCAGTTATGTGTTTGTTACATTTGGAGTCTGAGTGTTTGAAGTTTGCAACGCGTACTGCGGTACGTCGAAAAGCGGCGTTCGTTGATTTGGAAGAGTGAACGGGCACCTCTTAGCCGGGACACGGACGTTTGATCCCATGGCCCACAAAAGGAGGTCCAGCCGGAGTAGCTTGCGCTCGCAAAGGAGTGAGGATTTGTGTGCCTATCGATGCGCTTGAGTGAGTCATGTTCTGGCTCGATCCAAAACACGGTCTTTTTCCTTTAAAGTGGCCTTCTCTATTCTTCTCTTTCTTATCAACTCTGTGCCTTTCTCACTCAGAGGCCTTGACTTTGGCGCCTGCGTCTCTAGATCTTTGGGCCGTGGACCCAGGCTGACTGGATTCGGCCAAAGAGGCGACGTCATGACTCAGTAGTATGTAGAATCTATCTATCTATCTATCTGCCTATCCTATCCATATGGTGCAAATATAGTTTTTGCTAGGGGGCAGGAACCCTATGCGGATATGTAGTCAACCTCGGACTTGAACTCATGTCACTGGGAATGTACGGGTTGTCCTGGGAGCTCGTATCCTACATGCGGCTCAGTCTGCATGCGGCTAGTCTGCCCTGTACGTGGGCCCCTGTCTCCACTCGATTGCTCAATGCCCGTTGTCCAAAGAGCCTCCAAAGCCCTTCACGACGCTAACGTTGCACTACTCGGCGTCCACTACACCACTCGCATCACCACAACCCATTTTCACTGCTTTTGACCCTCGCTTTGGAGCGCTCTCCCCCGCCAAGCTCTGGGTTCACCCTTTCAAAAGGTCCTCCTCAGCGACCACTCCCCCGTCGTCTCATAAACATCGACAGCCAGCGCGCGCGCGCGCGCTGGACAGCCCTGCTGCCGCTGCATCAGCCACTATTCGCCACCTGCACTCCCCGTCTCGCACTGCCCCAGTAGCCATCAAGCCTCGTGCTTCTGCGCACACAGCACCGAATGCCGCAAGCACGCGAGGTCACCCGGAAAGCACGGCCAGCCTAACAGTCGTTGGAGGCTGTCCTTAGGCCTTGGGAGATTTTGGAGGAAAGGGCACCACCGTGCGCATGAAATCACCCACTTGGCCACATCCACGGTGGCATAGATTAGAACAACCGCGATTCTGCGTGATGGCATATCTATCCGGGCTAATGCAAGCCCCTGACAAGATGGCCACCTCGTGCGCTCCCCGGCAACGGGAACTATCAAAGGCAATACCGCGGAGTTGAACCACGTCCTTACGATCCGAACGAAGGAACTTTTCCCACATGCTGAACCCGCCAAGACTCACGCAAGGCATGGCACGTGGCTTCCACATCATTGCAGCCAGGTCGCAAGGAACATTGAGCCGTAGTTTCGGCATGTTGCCAAGTGAAAGGACTAGTCTCAGTCCACTTCAAGTCTCGCATCCACCGACGACCGCGTTTCTGCCGCCAAGCGATATTGTGCCAACCGGTCTGGTTGCGTTTGTTTTTGCGACCACCCCCCCCCACACCCCCTTAACTCACTTCGTTCGCCCTAAAAGCTCAAGCCTGGCCTATCGGCTGGCTTTCGTAATATATGGTTTATCGCCTTCGGACCTCTTTTTTCTGACCTCACACAGTGGGGTTTCTGCGGTACCAGGAGCCTCGTGCGGCAATACCAAGGCCGGGGCAGCCGGGGCAAGGACCTGGGCATGCTGCGTGGAACGTACGTGGTTACCTGTCCTTGGTATTTGCAGGACTCAACGATCTGGCGCCCCACTGCCCTGTCCTTTCAACTTGCTTGGGACAGCCATGGTTTCTTTTGCTGCGTGCACCCTGAAACATGGACAGCTTGTCCTATCAAGGGCATCTTCATGACACATTGCTGATGATTTATGATACTCCCTCGTTGCCTGTGTGGAAAAATCCAACTGGATATCTCTCCACTTACAACCAAAGTTCCATGAAAAGACCCGCTAGATAGTGGAGCTCCCATTTTCATATCAACTTTTGCCACTCGTGGAAGAGCTCTGGGCTATCGCACTCGCACCTGTCTTCCAGGAATTTTCGCACCCTCGCCCTTGGCTTCCCAGGAATGAAGGCTGTAGTTGGAATTAGTTTGCTGAAGAGTCTTCAGGAAGCCTGTTGTTCGGGATGCACCATTCTGGTACCACAGTGGCATCCTCTGGGTCAAGTGACATCGAGCCAAGTGGAATCCATCGAGCTTGCGCTGAATCCGGAATCCGGCACTCACTGGGCACCGAGCTAATGAGGGCAGCTCATCACTGCGTACAGCCTGGCTCACGGTGGCGGTGCTGTGCCATTGATCCTTCAAGTCTGCGTCTTCGTATCGTCTTGGTCACCAGGTCCCAAGAATCGAGCGACCGCGAACGAACCAACGGGTTCGTTACCGCGGTCAATTGCCCAAATAGACGTTTTCAACGTCTCCCTTGCGACAGGAACGTCTCCCCATATGTGCTCCCTCCCTTTTTCTGACTGCCAATCCAATCGCCCAAGGACTTCTTTCCCTTGGTTCCCGAAAGGCTGAGTTCACCAGGCCTCCAACCTGGGTTCAGCCTGAGAGGCAAGATAACGAGAGAGATCCGTGATCGGGCGCGGTCCAATGGTTACAACGAACCTCGGAAGGACACTTGGCCAGGTCTTCTTGAAACTGAGAAGAACCACCGAAAAAGCCTTCGGCCCAAGGTGCCATGGGTGCCATCGGCCCAAGGGCACTGCACCCCAACCTGCCCCATACCGTTGAAGCTTGGGACCACGTTGAGCGAAAAGAGTCGGAGGAACACTTGAGATGAAAGCTTGGCCTGGCACCGGACCTGTTCTGAGTTGTTCACAAGCTGGCCTGCGATGGTTACTGGTTGGAATGATCCGTTGTTTCTACCCGCCGCTGGAGACCTCACTTGACGTGTACACCATAAAGGAAAAACTGCACTTTCAAGCATCCTCTAAGCATACGATCGCCTCTCTCCCCAAAGGAACTCTCTTCTGCACGACCATTGCGCTTCGCAGCACCCTTTGAGTTCGAGAGGGTCGGACAAGTGGCCGCCAGACTTTTGAGCGCCGAGAGCTCTACATTCATCTCCTCACAGATTCGCACCAGTTCCGCCTCAGGATTAGCTCTGAGCAGTTTTGGGCCAATCTGGATCCTCTTGTGGCACAAGAAAGCTTTGGCGATGCTTCACCTAACACCTTCACCTTCGAGCCCTGTTCCAAGACTGAAGGGTACAGTAAGGCTCCAGAAGGGTCACGCATTTTGGCCCAGTTGCATGATGGCCGCTCAGGGTTTCTCGCATCTCGTGCACCACTCTCTCACCTGAAGCATCGCATCGCGCGAGCCGCATGGGCAGAGGCCGAGCAGGCCTTCCTCAATGAAAAGAAACAGTGGAAGAAGTCGAAAAAGAGGTGATTTCATCCAGACTCTCCACCTCGACGATTTACTGTACCAGTTGGAGACCTTTTGGGAGTCTAATCTTTCCTATTGCAGAACTAGAATAGATCTCCTGCAAGGAAAGGACAGTGTGCGTCGAATTGGTAGGAGATAAGGGTTGAGCTCTGGATGACAACGAATATTTGTCTATGCTATTCTATGCTGATCAATTGTTAATCCTTCCACTTGTTGTTCTGGCCATTTTGTGGCCAATGAAGCCTTGCAAATCTACTGTAACTACTGAACTGGACCAAGTAGCAAATCTGTGCAGCCATGGAGTCGTCCCCCATGGCGTCCCACAAAGGAAAACACCGCCGGCCACGGGGGTTCGTCGAGTGATCAAGGCAATTTGCAAAAACATCCTACGCTGGCAGCTTTGCAGCTTTCCCCTCTTCAACTTCTGCCAATGATGAAAACCTCTTCTGCGCGGAGTCCATGTAGAAAGTCTTAATCCAAAAACTCCAGATATCTGCTTCTGACAATCCAACAGCTTAATCATCTTCATCTGACCCTTCTCAGATGAAACCCAGAGAAAAGATGATAAGAGATGAAACACCTCTGTCTGGTTTGCCTTTTCCATCCTTCTGTCTGCATTCTGAGCCACAAATGCTACCAAATAAAGCTCTGCTTGAGTACACTACGAGAAAGCACCTGTCTCAAAGGCATCTCTTCTGTGGTACTACCTACGAACTGCAGTGGGCAACTATTTGAGTGGTCGAATCAATCCTTCGCCTTGTAAACACCTGCACCCGCACAGAATCTAGTGTCTATACATCCTTATATCATGTGTACCTTGTATCATCCTTACCACTGATACAAGTGGTTCGTTCGGTTACTTCCTCTTTGCATGTGCTCGTCTGTCCCCGGACCCGGCGGGCGGGCCCGGCGCTCGGTCGGTCCTGCGACCCACCGACCACGGGGACCCGCAGCATCTGAGACGTCCTCATGCCTTGGGACGGGTGGGGACGGGTAGGACGAAAGAAAACGGAAGACTTGGCATCTCCAAAGCATTCCAAAGCATACCCCCCAAAAGCAAACCAATGCAAACTGCCCAGAGCATACCAAACCCTTCCTGCTGGATGTTGGAGATCCCTTTGAGGAAAAACATCGAAGACTCCGTGCAAGTATTCACTCGCCAACGAATGATGTTTCATACTCTCGGTGCAAGTCCACATTCAAAGCAAAGTCAAAGAAGCACAACCTTTTGGCTCAAACTAATCCTTGCCACTCAGAGGAACAAGTCTCATAAGGCTGAGAAGTTGCCATCTGGCCGAATCTGGGAAGTTGCCATCGTCATCCCAACCGCGTCGCGTCGTCCCATCCCCGCGGATCCTCTCCACCGTGCGAGCGGCTCTCGAAGTCCGATCCATAGGTTCTGGCCGCTTCCATGTGGGTCCACCTTGGGCATCGGTGTGGTCACCAGTCATCTCACCGCGTGTTCGGCCGGAAAAAACCAACGAGTTTCGGTGGAGATGACATCCTGCGCATGTTGCGCAATCTGAAGGAACAGCTTCCAAATAATTATAATGTGTAGTATAAACTTGTTACTAGTAGCTTATTGTTTCTAACTGCTTCTTGTTACTACTAGTAAGGCACCTGCTACTACTAGTAAGGCACTTGTTACTACTAGTAAGGCACTAATCCTCACTTCCTGCAAAATCTGCACTCCCGGGTTTTCGGGTTTTGAGCATCCAGGCGAAGGGATGGGCAACCTCACCAGCTGGGTAAGGATGCGAACCTCGCGAGGCGGCGACTGCGAAACAAGCCTTAAACCAGCCTTGAACTAAGAAGACTGTGAAGAGTGCAGGTCTCACTGAAACTCCTGCTAAAACGTTGAGCAGCTTCCGGGGCTATCTTTGACCAGCTCCATCATGAGCTTTGATGAAGTACGAACCACTGCTTTTGGATTGACAACATGTCCCAGTCCCACTGATGCATCAAATTACTGATGTTCATTTTTGGTTGCACCTTGTAGGCCTGCGCCGCCACAAAGGCATGGAGCCCAAACCAAAGCGCCAGGAGCAGGTACCTCCGCGCAAAACTACAAGTGCAAATCAGAGTCACCCTGCAAACTAAAGGCAACGACTATGTCCAATTATAGTGGCGGCTAAAGCACTTCTGACCAAAGCAAACTGAGATAAGCTTGGACAACCGGTCAACTGCCTATTGCAGGGAAAAACTTTTGAGCGAATTGACTGAAGGGTCTATGCCACAAAAAGATTCTTTTCCACCAGAACTATATAACCGAGTACATATCAGTTCAAAAGTGTCAAAAGAAGCCTGCAGCGTCAATTCACTTCCCACAGGGAGCGACAGAACTTTCGTTCTTGTGCGACAGGGCACGAGATGCAACTACAAATAGCCAGCACCTTGAAAGGTTGCGGAAGGCGCTTGGACCAGCATGCCATTCCGAGACGCGGCTAGTCATGGACCGAGGAATTGAAAGGGGGGCGATGCCAGTGGTCTCGGGGGGAATCACTGGTGGCACTTCCGTTCGAGGTGCTTCCGTGATCTAATTCCAATTGGCACTCTGACCTCCTGCTGGTCACATGCTCACAAAAAAAAGAACTGGGAATCGCACCGAATTGACCTTTTTTCTTCAAGCTGCTGCAGGACTACAAACCCAAAAGTAGCTTCCGCTGTACTAACAAGCCTTTTGGTCTCGTGGAAGGCAGCCTTCCTCTGCACATGAGAACCCCGTCCGCTTTCATTCGTCACCTGACTCCCCGATTCACCTTTTCCGCCGGTGTCTTTTGTCCCGGCGGTGCGCGGTCGTCGGGAGCCTGGGCGGTCCGCGAAACGGAAAGGGGAAGGTCCGTTGGATGAATGAGTTCAAAAGTATCTCCAATCAGTGCCTGAAAGGGGCTGTATGCCCTTTGGCAGCAGTATAGTATCGACTTTGGAGCTAAGATTGCTGACACACGTACCAAATCCGTTCCTCCAAATGTTGACCAATTGACCTTCGGATAGGCTTGCATTTTGGCAAGCTCTGGTTCATGTCGACTTTGGCCCACCATCTACCAAGAAGCCTTTGCCCTTCGACTTGGCTTCTTCTCCACGCGAGCCACCATACTTGGTGCCTCCCCAGGCCACTACCTCAACAGCACCAGTCGCCAGTCTTTCCCAAGAGAATCAGGTTGGGGTGTGGGTGTGTGTGTGTGTATGTCTGTCTCTCTCTCTCTGTGTCTGTGAAGACACTTCAGATGTGGAAATCCCATGAAAAGTCAGAAATCAAACGAGCCTAGAACAAATCCTGCAAGTTCAGGCCACACCCAAAAGCATGAGTCCGCGTAGGACTTGCAAGGTCTACAAAAAGGCAAGAACCCAAGTACTACCTTTTGAACACTTCACTCATCACCCATCTTGATCGACAATGGTCCAAGTTCACCCAATGTGCCACACCCCAACTCAGCGCAAGGCACCATCCGCACTCCGAAAGGGACACCTAGCAACCTACTTGCACCCCTCGAAGAAATCCTGGTTGCATCCCCCCCCAAAACCCAAAAAGCTGGTCTTTGGTTCGGTCTTCGGATCCTCGCGTTCCATCCATGTTCGTCGTTGTTTTCCTTTGATCCCAGTGACCGAGCCGTCACCTAAGAGAGCTGCGAAGGCGTGGGTGGTGGCCTACGCTTGGCTGAAAACAACCGGTTGGCCGAATGAAAGCTTTGTCGAATGAAAGCACACAAGTTGCATTCAAATTCTCCATTCAGTTGCAGCATAGTTGCAACGCGTCTGAGCCGCTGGAGCAACAAACGACTGCGTTTTGATATAATGAGTCGACAATTGCAAAGCACCATGCCACCTGCTCTCCCGGGTATTTACATAGGGTTTGTTTTTGATGTGGCTCCATCAAATCACCCACATCAAATCCATCCAGCCTCACCTCCATCCAGCCCATGGCCTGGATCTGTTGCACATCTTTCAGTCGCTCCTTCACGCGCCCGCAGTCCCCGCCCCCGCGCTGGGAGCCCCAAGTGACGACACGCCCATCTGTGCACAGGGCGGCCTCGGCGGGTGTTTGGGGGGACGTTCCGCTGCGTTCCTTGGAAAAACTCCAACCCAAACGAAGCCATGCTAATCCACAAAAAGGTTCCTGTGATGTCTCTCTACAGTAGATGCAATGACATTGACCCTGCTGCTAAGTTCCAAGATTCATGTATATACTGTATACTGTATACCTCGCAAGCGTCGATCTATTTTCCAAGCTTTTGATGTCCAAGGTCCTCAAAGCCTCAAGGGCCTATCATGGAGGGCCATCCAAAATTGATCAGGTCGAGGTACAAAGGCGTCACGGGAAGCTTGGATTTGTTGCACCTCTACCAGCTGCGCTTGCACGTGGCTGGAATTGCCACCTGCCAGGCGAGACTCTTTGTCTTCCAAAGTTTTAACTGCAAAAGGCCTATGGCCTCTTGATATAACTCAATGTTCCCTCTCTGTGTGTGTGTGTGTGTGAGCAGAGAATTCCACATTGATCGACTGTCTGGGCGCCACAGCATGTTCCCAAAAATTTGTCATGGTGTGACAATTCTTTGGAGCGGTTCTCATCCTTATTTGGGATGAGAAAAGGCAGTGTGATTCGTGCTCAACTCACCTGTCGAGTGGCAGTTGACAAGGCTGTAGTTGGTACATCAAAGTCGTTCCAAGAGGAAGAAAAGCCAAGTTCCAAATCCAGGTTCTACCTTGCATTGTTCCTTTTCCTTTAGACCAGGTCCACTGGTTCTGCTTGGTCTCAAGTGGTGCAGCTGGGTTTGTTGCCGTTTGAAAGACTACGCACGGGCTGACAGTAGGCAAAGCGTCCCCAAAAGACCCAAATGCACAAGACTGCTGAAATCCTTCTTTCCTTAAGCCCTTTTTCATGATTGTTCTTTCCAACCAAAACCAGTCCCGCACTGGTTGATCGGTGAGAATGTCGGCGCTGAGAACGGGCTTCTCTCCGCTTCCTTCTACCCCAGGTGCCAAGTCGTTTCAAAAAAAGTGCGGTTTCATTTTAAACCTCACACTGTCCATGCGCCACGTTTTGGCTGGTGCAGAGTCCAGAGCAACCAGGACGCCGACGAACGACTAGACAGCACGACGCATGAGTGATGGCACTCCGTTTCCTTATACAGTCAGTAATACATGCACCGGGTCTGAAGGAGATGAAGAATCTGGTTTCAGACTCTGGATTCCCTGCTGGCAAGTCTGGATGAGCTTGAGAACACGATCATCTCGCTTCTTGCGCTTGTTTCGGACTTCCACGCGCAAAAGTCACGCAACTCACCAAAATCGATGTCTTGCTGAGTTCGTTCAGGCGGTCTGTAAGTGTCCCTTCCCGCCTTTGTCAGGATCTCCCCAGGTGACCACACTTCCATCCTGCAGAATCGCAGCAAAGGCCCCACCACTCGCTTGGATCCTGAAAATGCGAAAAGCGACGCGTTTTGCTGCGAAAGCGCATGGGGAGGGGTCGCTGGCAAAATCTGAAACATAGCTGTTGGCTTGAAATCTAACCCTGAGACCTGGAAAACGGGGCACCGTGATGGTCCATCAGAATGCTGCTGTGATCCATACGTGATGGTCCAACAGCGAAATTGACACTTTAAAGATGATATGTTCCCTTAGATTCCCTTAGTAATTAATAAAGTCAAAGCTGTGGACAGTTGTCCAAATACATCCCAGCACAGCAAAGATAGATCTTACCACTGGCAACCAATGTCTTAGCGGTGATTGATTTATGACTCGACAGGGATTCTCAAACCTCACCCTTTACATGTCCATCTTGGTCGAAGAGCTCTCCGATTTACGATGTCTCAAGCAACCCATGGTCCAGTTGCTCTCAGGGATGCCTCTGTGCATGAGCCATATCTCGCCACCACAAGCATGTCCCGTGACCCATCAAAAACCATGTCCCTCCACCGAACTCCGCCAAGCATCTGTTGCACCTGTCTCAACTTCCCCTGCATCTGGACGCTGTCGCCGGCATCGCCGCCCCAGGTGACCACCTCACCGGCCGCTGTCAAGGCAGCGAAGGCATAGGTCGAGGCTTGGATCTGCTGGACGTTGCGCAGGCGATCCTGGACGTCACCTGGGCCACGACGTGGAAGACAAGAGCCCGCATTGCTACCATGCAGCTTTTGAAGACCTTAAGCCTTAAACATCTTAAAATCCTGTCACACGCCGCTGTTCTCTTCAGAAAGTGAACTCTTGTCACACGCCTTGTGCCTTTTCCAAGTCCCACTGCCTCCCAGTGACGACTATCTCCACCACTCTGGGGACAGCCCCAAGTCACCACCCGCCCCGTGCGCAGCACGGCCGCGAAGGCCGCGCGGGTCGCCTGGATCTGCTGGACACCCGTCCTGGCGAGGCGCTCGAGGCGGGCGAGGCATCGGTGGAACGAAGGCAGTGGTCTTTCTTCGGTTGACACCACACGGAGACATCGGTTGACAACGACAACATCAGTGGAAAAAGGGCCAGTTTGCAAAAGTTAGATTCTCCAACATTCTATAGAAGTCTCTCTGGAAGTCTCAAACCACGGTGAAACTGGGCCCAAAAGCCGATGAAAACAGATCGACATGGAAAGAGTGCTGTAGGCAAAATCCAGAAGACACAAGGCAGCCATCAAAAACTCTTTGGCAGCTCGCTTTGCTGACTTGCCGCAAACCAACAGTTTGCATTCATTTAACCATTGGGCCTACAGTTTCTATTCCAATCATATGAGCCGGGCATTTGATGATAGAGGGATATACGGGATATACTAAGAGACAATAGATTTTGTTCAGAGTAGAAACTCTTCGGCCTGTAGGAACAAAGCGGGGAAGGACTGTAGTCTATATAACCACAAGTACGCTTACAAATCTTACAACTGTTGCGGAGTCTGTGCTCTCATTAATCTTGCTTGTGTCAACGCTCATAGGTCGCTGCTTTCTGAATTCAAGTCATTACAGCTCATCATAATCTTTAGACTCGAAGACTGTAAACTGTTTGACATGTTTATGTAACGCATGAATCTGAAGAAAAAAATTGCCATGGGCCCACCTCAGTCAATAGAACATTCTTCTCCAGAGGTAAGACAAAACTGAGAGCACATTCAAAACATGACGTCGATTCTCAAGGTCGAAGGTTCCAAAAGTGGTACAAGGGACCTGAGAAATCTCACGACCAAGATTCAGCTGCTCTTGCACGCTGCTAGAGTCTCCTTGCAGCTTGCAAAAGTCTAAATAGGTCACATCTCTCAAGAAGAATCAACTTTCAGATCCACCATCCTACCAAGCACTTTCTCAACACTTGCGAGACTTCACCCTAAACACCCACACTCTTTCATATCATCTCCTCCTTTCTCTGTATCACCCCAGCTCACCACCGTCTCGTCTCGGCCAATCGCCGCGAAGGCTGCGTAGGACGCCTGGACGCTCCGGACGCCGCCGCAGCGCCTCAGCGCCTCGCGCACCGCGGCGGAGCAGCTGCCCCCGCCGTGCGGAGCGCCCCAGGCCACGAGGCTCCCGTCGCTCCGCAGCGCTGCAAAGGCGCCCCGGGAGTTCTGGACACACACCACCTCAAGAAGCTGCTCCTGACTGAGCCAACCAGGTCGGCGGCGACTCGGTGGGCACATCTAAGCTGCTCCGGGTCTGTTCGGAGCGAGACAAACGATGAGCACATCTAAGGTTGGCAGCACAATCGCTGGAAGTTCAAGGATCATAGGGCCTCATTAGTTTGGAACTTGGAACTTGTATTGTCCCATCCAACCGAAGCCAACAGCCTCCCCTCCTGCACCGCACGTGCATCACCGCCGAAGATGGGGTGGCCCCAGACCACAACTGAGCCGTCGGTCTTCAGTGCTGCAAAAGCTGCACCGGTTGACTGAATCTGCTCCACCGAAGTCAACTGCTCCTGGATCCAGTCGTGTGTCCTTTTCCGTCCGCTGTATTCAGCTCTGGAGAAAGAAACTCTTTTTGGCCACAGCTTATGAAGATCATCCTGCACTAAACTCTGATCACTTACATCGGACCGGCACAGACCGGCACAGCGAGTGGCACAGCGGAGCCGCGGTGTGTCCATAGCGACGCGACGCGACGGCGCCTGGACGCCGCTGCAGTCGCCTCCGAAGTCCGGATCACCCCAGGCAACGACGCGCCCATCGCCGCACACGGCGGCGAAGGCAAAGTCCGTGGCCTGAACCTCCTGGGAGGGAGAACCAGCGCATGGCGCTAGCATGGTGCTACCAAGTGTGTGGGTTGCTAAAGATAATTCAAAAAAAAGAAAATCCTGATTGTTTGTTGAGTTGCCATGGCTCTTTTGGCAGGATCAGTGGTATGGACCTTGAGAGGAGATACTGTATATAAATGTTTGAGGTGCACTCTGGGAGAGCTTTTTTGGATTGGATACAACAATGCGTCTGCCCAAGTCTCTTCAAAATCTAAGAATGGTGGCATGCGTTTAATCCAGCTGAGGTTGAAATGTTGATGCAGGACCCCCCACGTTCTGTAGCGTATCCACACCGAACAGCTTTTTCCAGCGCCACAAAAGTCTCAACAAGGTGCTGCAAGCCACCCATGCCCCAGCAGAACGCCCAAAAGGCGTGTCTGCTCATGGCACACCAGGGCCACAGGACCCCTGGTTTTCTGCCTCGCCCTGAGGGCAGGGTGTCCACACAGTCGCACATGCATGCGCAGAGCTCTCAAAAAGGGCGCATAATCTGTCATTAAAACCCAGGAAGCCTGTACAAAGTTCCAAAAGCTCAGGCACTTGGAGGCCACGGCCATGTCTCTTCTCTCATTTATCCGTAGCAAAGATAGCCACCATCCACAGGAATGCAAGCGCCATTCACCATGCCGCTCCTCTGAAGATTTGACACAAAAGGGTTACAAAGTTGCTGCACCTGCCTACAAGAAGCCCACACCTTTTGATAGATGGTTCAAAGATACGCGGCACGCGTTATGTTCACCACATGCTTGACCTCTGCAAGGTGGATCTGGCTTGTTGACGGAACGAGATATCAATCTCCGCTGAATCACTTCTTCTAAATACCCTCATTCCGTGGCTGAAGAAACTGTGGACAGTAGGGACGGTAGATGTCCGTTCCGTATGTACGTTCAACATCGTGTCCCTCTTTTTCACCAAAAGATCCTGTTCTTTCACTTTCTTTCTATCACTGCAGAATGTCCCTGCCGAGTGATCATTGGTTCACGGCACTGGATTTCACGTCAGGAAGACTCCGGACACTTCGATCGACTTCGATCGACACTTCGTCACCTCCGCTCATCCAACAGGAAGGCCACCACACTGGCGATCTCCTCGGGCTCGGCGAAGCGGCCCAAGGGGATCTTCGAGAGCATCGCCTCACCAAACGAGTGACCCCAAGCTATCCGGATAGACCCAAGGAGAAGCCTAGTTCTAAACCACCTATCACGGGCATAAAAGCCTTCCCAAGAAGAAAGGCTGCCCAGACCTCAACATCCACACCTTCGTCTTCTGCTCTGCCCTTCACCCCCGCCTGCGTCTCGGGGGCCCCATCCGGCCAGGCGGTCTTCCCCATCTCGGTGCGCACCACCGTGGGCTTCACCGCATTGCAACGAATCCCGTGGGGGCCCAGTTCCACTGCCAGGTGACGGGTGACCTGGTCGATGGCTGCTTTGCCTCGGCTTTCGTGCTGCTTGCAGCCATGCAACAAGAAATTGTGAACGGTGGAACCGCTGTGTAACTCAGGTCAAAAGAACTCCGAAAAAATGTGCTGCCCAACTGCTCACGCTGTAGGAGGTGTGTGCTGGAAAGACACGGGTGGAGCTTTGCGATGACACGTTCACCACGGCCCCGCGTTGCTTCTCGGCAACCCGACCCTGCGCCCAAAGCTGCGCCAGCCGCAAAGGAGCAGCCACGTTCACCTTGCTGGCTCAATATGGTTCAATCAATGGCTTCATTCTCACTGGTGAACAGAATGTGACACCAGAATTCACCCAAAATCACACAAGTGCTTCTCACCACAGAATCGCCCGTACCTCACCCAAAAAATACCCAACCCAAAAACCTCTCTCGTTCTGCCCACCGGAGCCCGGTCCGACCGACCCGGCCCGCCTGGAAGCAACGTTGCACCTCTTCCGGACCGGTACCCTCCAGCAGGTCGGTGAAGAGCCCCAGCCCGGCGTTGTTCACCAGGCCGCCCAAACCTCCGGTGCGGAGAATCCGAGGCGACCCGAGGGGATGGCCGGCGTCTTTTCGGGATGTGCGCGGTGCTGAAGATGCAATTTGACAGGGGGAGGACTTGTGACTTTGAGGAATCTGAGACAGATTGATCCTGTACATATGCAAGTTGGATGGGGATGTTCAAACCAAACTTTGGCCGGTGCAAACAAATTCCTACATCTGGTCTGACCCACAAACAATAAAAATGCAGGATGTGGCAGGACATCCAAATATATATATATATACAATGATTCCAGCTTGCCCTTGCTTCAAGCACGAGTGCCAGTAGAATCAAATGTCCTTGGCAGGGAATAGCCACCTTGCTTTGATGCTTCCATGGTTTG